ATAGATCCAAGGTATTTAGGGTTGTATGTGCACCATAGGATGTTGTAGTATACTAAAACCCAACAGGTGGAAGGTCAGCCTCAAGGCTCTTAAGGAGATTATATAGGGTGCAAACCCTAAAATTAGGGTTTTTTCCCTTACAGCGCCTACTCGTCGAGTTGGCCTTCCAACTCGTCGAGTAGGGTGTAGATACCGCGTCCTTGAAAAGTCCTCTACTTTACGAGTCGGTGATACTACTCGTCGAGTCCCATCATCAAATCCCTAAAACTTGGAAAAATCAAATAATACCTGGGACAGGTGTTACACTTTCAATCCATTTGAGATGCTTCAACTATGGTTGTTTTGCATAATTCACCATTTATTATACCAATCTCATGTGACTGTTAAACATGAAATAGAATCTTGCTACCAAGATGTGTCAATGTCATTCTTTTATCAATCCATAAGTTAAAGGAAATGCGCCTTGTGTAGTCTTTGAAATATATGATTTGATCTTAATAACGATGCATTATCCAAATATGTGTTCAAAGTTTTAATTGAAGTGATAACATAAAGCTATAGATCTGAATCCATGGTTAACGTCTGGAAAGGGCAAAACTTTATAAATAGAATTGTCCACAACATGTAACTATACATATGTCATAGACATGATCCTTTTCTATCTAGCATACAATAGTGTTATCATGTATTCATTTGATGATAAACCAAATTCTAATTCACGACAACTTTCTTCCGTGAAAAAAGCTGGTTGTTTAGGTGGAGGCAACATAACTTCACTAACAAGCATTGAAACCACTAATGACATAGTTGGCCTATCTTCTGCATGTTGTTGCACACACAATAATCCAACGTGTATTGATCGTAACACTTGGGAGACCACACACGAGTTGTGTAAGGATGCATTTATAAGTTCAATCGACTTGTCTTCTTTGTAGAGTCTCCATGCCTGAATGAAATCAAACTTCATACGATTATATATGCCAAAAAGGAAAACATAAAGAAAACACCAATTAATTTTTTGTTAAACTAGTAGGGGTCAAATGTTTAACCATTAAACGAAAAAAAAACCCTTAGGAGGTTGTTTCTTTTTTCAGTTGATGGACTTAATGGGTTAAACCATATGCTGGACAAATATACATGCTATTTATTTTTGAGTCAATTTGGCCAAATTTACATACGGCTTAAGTGAAAAAAGTCTGGTTTAATGTATTAAGAAACTATCTTTTTTCTTTTCTTCATATTTTCTCCCAACTCTACTAGCATTAAAACTGATTAATATTGCTAAAAATGGTAATTGTTGTAAAATATTCAGTATGCACCAGTAAAATTGTCATTTAGTCCCATTTGATTTGTTTAAAAAGAAAGAAACATACTTTAACACTTTATCCAAACATGCATTACTATCCATTCGGCCACTTTAATCATAACGGGAGAAAGAATACAATTATTCTACCAAATAAACTTACATGTCCAAGAAGGTTGTCGCTATGACCTTCATGAGAGAATCCTCTGTTTTTCCTCCCACTCACAATCTCCAACACAACAACACCAAAGCTAAATACATCCGACTTCACTGAGATATGCCCATGTACAGCATACTCAGGAGAAATGTATCCACTGTCGACAAGGCCAAGTTCAATTAATAAACACATATTAGAAACAAAGTTTGGCGTTTGTTTGTGTAATTTTCCAACTAAAGTTTTGAAAAATACGTGTAATCAAACATAACCAATCTAGTAATCCATGTTTTGTAGATTATTCTTACTATGTTCCCACAACGTTCCTTGTCTTAGCCATGGCATCCAGTCCGACAAACTTTCGAGCAAGGCCAAAGTCAGATATTTTTGGGTTCATTTCGCTGTCCAACAAGATATTAGATGCCTTGAGATCTCTATGGATAATTTGGAGGCGTGAATCTTGATGTAGATAAAGAATACCTTTAGCGATACCATGGATAATATGAAACCTCTGTCCCCAGTCAAGCATTGAACTTTTGGTTTCATCTGCACAATATAACTGAACTAGTTATATGAAATTTTAAACAAATTTGACATCATGGATTTCTACAAGAAGTTTGAAAGTAAGGTACTAGAGATCTAGAATCGAACCAAATAGAAATGAGTCCAAGCTTTTATTATCCATGTATTCATAAATCAAAATCTTTTCATTTCCATCAATGCAATATCCAAGGAGCTTCACAAGATTTCGATGCTGAAGTTTGGCAATACACATGACTTCATTCTTGAATTCATCAGGTCCCTGTTGAGAAGTTTCTGAAAGTCGCTTTACAGCTATTACTTCTCCGGTTTTTAACACACCCTAAAAGACAAAGGTTGCAATTCATATACATCTTACATGAGGCTTTCTTTTTCTTTAATCATACTGATATGAATTGCATTTTATTCAAAATGGATTAATTAAATTACCTTGTAAACAGGACCAAAGCCACCTTCTCCTATCTTATTATCAATGTGGAAGTTAGCGGTAGCCTTAACTATTTTATGAAGGCTAAAAAAAGGTAGCTCATCAAGGTTTTCCACCTGATCATCCCTGTTAAGGGTATTTGTCCAGCAACCTACAAAATGATAAGTTCATGTTCAGTTTCTCTTGATTACATACAAAAAATACGAATTTTTTTGGTTAGTTTTACCTCGTGCTTTCTTTTTATTTCTACATGCATATGCTACTACAGACAAAAGTAGTGCAACTGATGAAACTGACAGCACCACCACGATTATTAGCTTCTTCCTTTTGAAGCTGGATTTGCCTTGTGTTAATCAATACCATTATTAGTATGATTGTAATCCAAAGGTATATTAGAGCATGCAAAACCACACAATTAAACCTACAGAATATGAACTTTTTATAAAGATACCTTAGATGTGACTGTGTTAAAATAAACTTCTAAAAGCATCCATTATGGCGTCTTTTTGAGAGGTCCATAACATTTAGGCCATCGGCACTAGTGATTAGTGAGTATATATGTGTCATATTAATTGATGGGTCTTATATGCCATTGCAATGGTTATAAATCTTAAAAAGAATATATTGATTAATTGGCACTCAAATTGGATTTGAAAAAACATTTGCAAGGCAAGCCGCAAGTGTGATTGACAACCACTATA